GGGGGGGGGGGGGGGGGGGGGGGGGGGGGGGGGGGGGGGGGGGGGGGGGGGGGGGGGGGGTACCGTAGAATACGGTATGTATATATATATATTTTTTTTTTTCCTCCCATCATTGGAGTCTGTCGTCTGCCCCTCTGGCCCCTATCCTCCACTTCTACTAGCTAGACGACCCAACCGGGGTCACATAGGAGGGGGGGGTTGGACCCCCTCCTGCGATTCATGCCTGAGGTATTTTTATCGCGAGGAGGGTACAGCAATCCCTTCTCTCGCGACTTACGAAGTCGATTATGGTTTACAAACAACGAGCTTTGCAGCGCTTCGCCTTCATCCTAGGCCAGGATTTATTTAGTGAGGAAAATTTTTTCTCTGCCGGGACTCGAACCCATGATCTGGCCCTTAGCAGACTGCGAGGCTACCCACTAGACCACCGGGGCGACCGGTGTGTAATGCTCTGGACCTGCTGCAGGTGAATGGGGGGTTGTAAGGGATACAANGGGGGGGGGGGGGGGGGTACGGTAGAATACGGTATTTAATGCTCTGGAACTGTTGCACAGAAATAGGGGTTAGTATGGGATAACAACACGGCGCTGATTTGCCAGATATGAGGAAGTTTTGTTCTCTCCGTAGCAAGAAGGGCGGAATTCGTTTTGTATTAATGTTGCGTTCTTTCATGAGGGCGCGCTGGCCAGAGGGGAAGGTTGGGCACTGATCACAACCTATGAAGGTTGGCTTGAGGAGGTCGGGAGGACGGGATTGACCTTGAACACGTTGAATGTCTAAGCTGTTTCCGCTGTCGCACTAAGAGGAAGAAACCCTTCTGTTTGGCCCGGGTTCCCTACCAGGCTGGACACTACGTAGACGGGCTGAGATGAGATAGCTACCCTAGAGATGGAAGGAGAGCATGAAAACGAACGAGGCACAGAAAAATACAAACAAGCGTTGGTATTCCATAAGGCAGGCAGGTGTCTGCAATCGATTATGTTAGCGTCATCTTGCTGTTGATGTGTGTCGTGTGCGTAATCAAACGCCTGAAGTTTCCGCGGATCCTTGTCACTACCCCACGTTTCGCGCTGACTGGTCTAGTGGTGTAACTTTGTCAAATAAAAGATATGCGCTCAGCTCATTAGCACCCCTGACTGGTCTGATGGTGCAACTTTGTCAAATAAAGATATGCGCTCAGCTCAATAGCACCCGGCTGGATCACCTGTGGGGATGAGAGTAAGGATCTCCGGAGACGGACCCGTCGCCAGAAGCTGCCTGAAAATAACTTTATGGTGCTTGGGAAAGTGACCAGCGGGGATTTGAACCCGTGCGTGCAACATATTGACGTGAGATGACTAGTCTAATGGTTTTACATATGGCGTTACAGGATGTACCGCACGGGTTTGAATCCCGATTGGTCACGTTCTCAAGCACCATTGAGTTATTTTTAGGCAGCGCCTGGCGAGGGGTATGTCCCCGGAGATCCCTACTGTCTCCCACAGGTGATCCAGCCGGGTGCTGATGAGCTGAGCGCATATCTTTTACTAAATATTTGATAAAGTTACACCATTAGTCTAGACCAGTCAATTTGATCAAGTTACACCATTAGCCCAGTCAGCTGACTGGTCTTTCTAATGGTGTAACTTGATCAAATAGGGGCTACCCCCGGGCTGTTATTTGAAGATACTGTACGGAATATTGGGCCCGGGAACATGTTTGGAGATGAAGCCAGGGCAGGCGAACCAAGAGCAATATCATTTCATTTTGACAAGCTTGTTGCTGATAAATGTCACATTACATGCAGGCACCGGGGGGTTCACACGAGGACTCCAGGTCACGGGAATATATTTGTTTTGTTCTCCGAGACTGCGAGATACACAGATTCAAAAGAACCACGTCAGCACAACACGGAAGGAGTAAAAATGTTCTCCCATGCTACTCTACCCCGTACAACAGTACACGGGTGACCAACTAACCGGGTTGTTGGGGCACTTTTGGTCACCTGAATCGAGAATTATTTTGGCACGACGAGTTGCAACCTACCCTCCTTGGGTAATCCTCGCAATGCAACGATGACCAGGTTGTGCAAGGTATACCTTTGTTGGAGGTTGCGCGTTGTTTACAAGTCGGACAGGGGGCAGGTCGCCGATGGTAGTGCAAGGTGTACCCTTCCTTGGTGGTTGTGCACTGCTAACAAGCTGGACAGGGGGCGGACTGCCGATGGCGGCGCAAGGTGTACCCTTTCTTGGCGGTTGGTGCGCTGCTAACAAGCCGGATAGGGGTCAAGCTGTCGATGGCGGTGCAAGGTGTACCATTTCTTGTGGTTGGTGCACTGCTTACAAGCTGGACAGCGGGTAGGCTGCCGATGTCAGCGCAAGGTGTACCCTTTCTTGGAGGTTGGCGCGCCATGCACAAGTCGGTTAGGGGGGAGGTTGCCTATGGTATGACAAGGTGTACCCTTTTTTGCAGGGTGGCGCGCTTCGCACAAGCCGGTTGGGGGGCAGGTTGCGGGAAATATTGCAAGGTGTACCCTTTCTTGCAGGTTGACGCATTCCGCACAAGCCGATGAGGAGGCAGGTTGCCGATGGTATTGGAATGCGTACCCTCTCTTAGAGATTGCGCACGATGCGGCCGGTCTTCAACAAACTGCAGTGCTCCACACTGTAGCGGCGGGTTCAATTCCCCTGCACTACGTTTTTTTTTGTTCATGTTTCATTTGTGTTTTCGCCCCTGTATTCGAATCACTACAATTTTACCGTCGGTACATTCCCGAGCAAACCTCTGAAACAACGACATCCCGTGCCCATGCATCATACACATTGCCAGTAGCTCTAGCTTAAACCCATCTCCGCCCGCGGCTTATCATCTCTACCCAGGGTCGTCAACATCCCAAGTTGGACGAATACATGTAAACGAGAACCATATAATAAAAGGTACTTCAAATTGAAACAATACATACATACCCTTCCGAACGTCGTTCTGTATATTGAATGTCCCCCCACAACAGCATGCCCTCGCCCATGACCGTCAGCGACGTCGATTATGGAGACGACCCACAACCCCCCTGCAACAAACTACCTTTATTTTTTGTGAGGAAACACCACAGCCGGCGACAACAGCTACACGTAGCGGCAGCATTGTTGTCCAAACGCACAGGTAGAAACGACCGTCTCTCCCGACACGAAAAGCAGAACCCCCCCCCCGCCCCGGCCGTCCCAAATTCTACGACTATCTCTAGTCAAGAAAAAACGTCACTGCCTGAGACGGAGCCAGCTGCGGCAGCGGTGTCCTCCAAAAACTATGCAGAGACTGCACAAATAGTCTAGACCTTAACGTTCCCAACACCATCGAAACAACTCCCCCCTCCCCTCCCCCAAAAGCCACAATTCGCACGGACAACAAACGGCGCGGACGAAGCCAAGAGGCAGCAGCAAAAGATTCCAAACGCCGTGGCACACACACAATACAGTAAGAAAACACCTGGCTCTCATCCCGCGCCAGGCGCCCTCATCCACCAGCGAGAGCAACAACCACATCATAGCACCATATGAAAAAAAAAGTACTGTTAGACATGGCTAGCGGGATAACTCTCCGCCTCCTCCGTCAAAGCTTGGACCCGTTGTGAACGCCATGAGGACCCGATAAAACGCTTTGAGCGATGTTGCAGCGGAGGTCCCGGCGACTCGACCTGGAGGTTACCGATCAGCAGCGAAATAATATTGAAGTGTGAGAGGAGGGTAATGGTGTTCCGTCGAGGAATGGAGGGCATGCTCTCCCCCTTTGCAGCAGTATAGTTCTTCGTATAGCTGACAGATGTACATTGTCAACAATAATACTTGCAAGCAGGCATGGGGGGGGGGGCATAAACCGAACCGCATGGAGCTCTCCTAGAACCTGAGACACGAAACAAAGAACAAAGAGCGTTCCATGTGAATATTTGTTTGACGTCACGGGGTCACATACACAAATAGCTTGTGACAAACCACCAGCGAGTCGACTGCCTAGGAGCAAATATAGGGAAATTATTGATAAAGCTGGAAACGCGTCAAGAACAAAACAAACGAGAGTGTTGGACGTTCACCAGAGCTTGCACGTCCAATGAGAGCTTGTCGGCCTGACAAATTGCCGATAGTACACAGGGGAGAAAGGGTTAGAAGAATACGCTATTGACAACAAAAACCCTCAGCCCCACAGAGCTTGGTTCACATATCGAAACAAAAGCAACGTAAATGTCGCTTATGGCGTCCAAGTTTTTCACCGCCGCCGCCCTTCGCAGCAAACCCCTTTCCGGAAAAAAACTCGCACGCGGGGAAGGTATGTTGTATATGTCCGCGACTTGGAAGGGAGAGACTGAATATCGCTTGTATTAGAAACGCAGAAGCAAGAGAAGAGAAGAAGAAGAGTGCTTCCGGAAAACAGAGAAGCAGGGGTCACAAACACAAGAACCCCAAAATGGTATGTCTACGTTCCTATCTGCGAATATATCCGTTACTGCGGTCGATCAATACCTGTCCGTATCCAAACACACGAACACCCTCCCTGGTTTTTCACGCAAGTGGCAAACCATCCGTGGGGCATGGTCACCCCTGATCACACCTAGGGACTCTAAACAGTAACGGTGCAAGGGAAAATACGGCCATCCGGATCAAAAACCCTCGCCTACCCTAAACATATATAATCGTCGCTATCACGGAGGATTCCAACGGCCGCACTTCCAAGACAAGATCAAGGCAGGACAAATTGTAC